TTTTTTTTTTCTTCCTTTTTTTTTTTTTTTTTTTTTTTTTTTTGGTGGGTACTGTTCTTTGGAGAAAAAATGTAATATTTATTTTTAAAATTAGTTGCTTTAGGCATTATTAGACTCTTCCCAGCCTCTCTACTCTGTGGAGAGTTTGAGTTTGTTTATTATTGTGAATGCTTGAAAAATGGGTAGTTTCTGAGTGCTTACAGCACTAGCATCTTCTGACTCCAGAGATCTTGAGAGTTATTAGAATGTGGATTTGTGGGACTTTGCCATGCCTTTAGTGTCTCTGAGCCCTGAGAAATGGCAAACTGCCCTGTTCTTCCTGTAGTTGGGTCTGATGGGGAAATGCACTAATAAAGCTGTAGCCATTAAAGAAGGTACTCTACTCTAGTCCAGCTGGCACAGAGGTATTAAAGAGTATGGACTGGAGTGCTCCCAATAATAGATTGTCTTCCTTCTGCAGTGGCTATTCACAAACCTGCCTACAAAAAGATTTGTGGAAAAGTTAGAACTTCAGCTCTTCACTGTCTGATCATGGTTTTTGATCAGAGACCCTCTACCCGCTATAAACAATTTTCCCAGTCAGGAGTCACAGGAACTAAACATTTAAGTTTAGTGTCCAAGCTGAAAAAAGTTCAGACTCTTTGAATCCTTCTGAGCATTTCAGGTCATCACAGAGCCTTCTCATTGCCTAAAAAATAGAAACAAGAAAAGTTACCAAATGCTTTTTTACTCAAAAGAAAATCAAATCTCATTTGCCAAACTGGCTGTTGTTTTCTTGTTCTGTATCTCATTGAAAAAGCATGCAAGAGAATTCATCCTTCAGTTGTCTTTCATTTGAAAAAAATCTTTACCTCAGGGTTCCCCTGTAAATCATTTTTGACCGAAGGCTCCTAGTTGCTCTTTAATATTATATATACTTTTTAGTAGAAGCATGTGATTGCCTGACATCAAATTAAACTCTTCTATAATATATTTTCTGTATCTACAACTGAAAACTAACTACTTTTCTTCTCCACTCAGTCCTGTTAAGAGTGGAATATTACTGCTTGATGCTTGATACTTTGCAAAATCTAGCAAAGTTTTAAAGTGTTTTGAATAAAACAAATATTGTAAGACATGATATGTGACAGTTAAAATAAGAATATAAGAGAGTAACCCTGCTATGTATTTGTACCATCTATGAATTTGAGTGTTGAAATTCTTTCCCTACCAAAGAAGGAGTATTTTAATGGCTAGATGGAAGCTTCTTGTCAACTTATTTTTCTAAACTGACAACATTTAGGGCAAATCGAATTTAATAATAATTTTAAATGTGCAGCAGTCCTAAAATTGTCTAGACATGTGCTGATGATGAACTGCATGGGATCAGAGTTTCTGAACCCATGCACAGCACAAAAAAAAAAAGTTTCCAGCAAAGTAATCTGCCCCCCTTTTTCTTCTAGAGATACGATCATAACAAGAATGATAAGATTCTTCCAATCAGCCTCGAGCCATCCTCAAGCACTGAGCCCACGCAGTCCAACCTAAGGTAAGACAGTGTGATGTAGGACAGAGTTATTCAAGAGCTTGAGTTGTTTCTTCATTCCACCCCTTCATGTATGCCATAGTGACTGTCTTAATAGGGATTCTTAATTTAGAATAGTTACTAACTTGACATTTTGAGAAATGTGTTCAGTTAATCTCCAGAATATAAACATTTCCTCTCCTTCCGTACTCCAAGATCATGTAAAAACCCTCTCCATTTTGAGTGAATTCATTCACTCCAAAAAGGGTGGGCTTCATTATCACACACCAAGCCTTCTTCCAGGCCTGGGGATACAAAGATAAATCAGACACAGCCCTACCCTGAAAACAAGGATTTTAATAAGGCCTTGGGTCCCTTTGGTGTTTGTCACTATACACTGATTCCTTCCCAACTATGAGTTTCCTAGCACAAAATTTTAGTTTGTAGGGCTGGGGATTTAGATCAGTGGTTCTGCTGCCCGCCCCAAGAGCGCAAGGTCCTGAGTTTGATCCCTGGTACTTCAAAAAAAAATTTTTTTTAAGTTTGTACACATTGAATTCTGTATACCATTGCAGCAACTATAGTAGTTTTGGCTCTAGCTTATATGAATTGTCAATGACTTCTTTGGAGTTAATTCAAAGCAGGGGCACCAAGGACTGGATAAAGAAATGGTAAGTTAAGTGGGTAGTTGAGCATAAGGAAGAAGGAGGAGTTTTTAGGGTTTTGTTTGTTTGTTTTTGTTCTGCAACTTTTAACAAAGTTTTTGGGTTTTTTTGTTTCGTTTTTTCAAATTTTAACACTAACAATAGCCAGAGTTTATCAAGCTTACTATGAAGCAAGTACTGTACTACTTTACATGCAGTATGTCATCTAATTATCATAAAAATCATTTTACATATGAGAAAACTGAAGCTTAAGTAAACTGTCTTGGTCAAGATGCTGCAGGTAACCAAATAGAATGGAAATTCAAAGCCAGGTCTAATGGACTTTGAAATTCAGTCCTGAGCTGCTACATCAAAGTCATTGCAAGCTACAAATATAGGAATACAGTTTTAAAGCCTGTTCCAGAGGAGGAAAGCTACATAGGAAACCATCAGTGATAAAGATTAGAAATCAGTAGTAGTCATAAAGTCAGGAAAGTGATATCTGTTTGAATTGAGGACCAGACAGGAGGAAAAATGCCTTTCTTGGCTATTTTCTTCACCAAGCAAAACAGATTTAAAAATACTACTTAACTATAGGGGAAATAGTAAATTTGTAAATTGGAAGTTAATATTTCATCTACTCAGTTGAGTTTAATGTTATGATACTAATTTTATGTTGCCTTTTATTTTGTGCTCTGGAAATTTTAAAAAAAATTATAATGTCTCTTAACATTCACTGGAGCATATCCACAGAGCTTTTTTCCCCATAAGATTTGAACCACCTTGATCACAGATTGATTTCTGGAGGTTTTCATAAATCTAACCCTGTGGATGACTGTGTTAATGCTTCATGGTCTTCATGTTATAATGAACATGTATTTAGTTTATTGTGATCAGTATTTGCCACTTGTTTACAAGTGTTTTCCCATCTATGTCTTAATCTGGAGACTCTCAGGTTACATCTTTCTGTTGCTACCTGTGCCTTCTTAGTTTGCCCATGACTCATACAGAATGAAGGGCTGGCTATCTCATTAATAAAAGAGGTGCCAAAATGTGTCCTAGTAATACCTCAGTATTCTTTTTATTATAACTTAGGGTTTATTTTTTTGTTTTTTGTTTTTTTAATGGACACATAAAAATTACACATATTTATGAGGTTCTACGTGATGTTTCAACATATGTAAATATCATGTAATACTAAAATTGGGTTAAACATATCTTTCTCCTCAAACACTTAATCATTTCTTTATGGTGATTTAATGTTTAATTTTTTGCCCATGAAAATGTTTTGATATGTTCAACAGATGTATACCTTTTGAGAATCTCTAGAAGATGGCCATATATATACTTCCAAGTTTCTCTCACTAGTTATAGACCATTGTCTGCATCAAGAATGGAAAGTAAAGGTATCTGGGCCAAAAATTCCCACTGCCTGGAATGTATTCTGATCTAAGGATAGCAGTGATCTCACTGAGAAGCAAATTTCTTATAACTTCTACAGCATCTCCTCACTCTTCTGTATAAGTTAAGTCTGTTCAGCTCCCATTCTGATAGAGAAGAAAAAAAGCAAAGGCTTTGATGATAAACAAACTGGGATCGAACCCTAGCTCTGCACCTTGTGAACTGTGTGACCCTGAGTGTATTACCACTTCTGCATTTGTTTCTTTACCCCTGAAATTTGGATGATAACTTTTGTAGGATTACTACAAGGATTAAAAGCAATGTAAGTAAAATGCTGTGTACTCTACCTGGCTCATTATAAGTAACATGCGTTTGCGAGTAAAAGATGGATTCGTAGGATTTCAAAAATGTTTTTTCTGTTATTCAGTGACTCAAAAGGTAGTACAGTGCAATGGTTAATAATACCATGGGCTTCAGAATCAGTTTGTGTTCAAATCTCAGCTTTATCATTTACCAACTATTTAACATTGGGCAAGTTAACCTTTTTCTGCCTCAATTTCTTTATCTGCAATGTAAGAAATGTACGAATGAGTGTTTAAATTTTTCTAAAAATTTAATACACTAAAAGACACATTGCCAGAAACAGTGGGATAAGTGTGTTTGAGGCAAAGGGGTGTACGGCGGGGGTGGGGGGAGGGGGCAGTAATGTGTTTTCCTTGATAAATTTTTTATTTAAACATTTATCATTTTTTATAATCACCCTTTATTGATCAAATGTTTACGGCAATTTCTGTCCAATAAAAATATTATGGTATATATTCATTCACCTTATTTGCTGTGTCTAAGACATGCAACTACCAGCAAAATGACCGTGAAAGCTAAACATTTTGAATCAGTTAAGGGCGTTGAGGTAGCCAAGACAGTACAACTAATGAAACCCAAGAAAAAGGACTTCCAGAACTGCTTCAGAAAAGTGGCAAGAATGATGAGATAAGTGTGTTCTAAGTGATAGAGAGCACTTGAGCGAGATCGCTGCCAGTGTGTCTTTTACTGTAATAAATTTTGAAAATTTGAACATTCACTCTTTTTTAGTTGCACCATGTAGCATGTCATTTTTCAGGCCTATCTTTGAATGCCTATTCTGTCAAGCACTGAGGTGCAGAGTTATCTTTGTCTAGTTAGATACTATGATACGTAAAGTACTTCTAACAGTGCCTATGCTTCCCTGAAAAACATAGTAGGTGGTTCAGACTTGACCTCTTAAAGTGAGACCATTTCTCTTACATGAAATGTTTACATGATTAGTATTTAATATTTTTTTGCTTCTCTAACATGTAAGAGGCAAAAGAAGATGAAATATCCTGTATTTTCCAATTTCACCTGGATTCATTCTGCTCTTCTGCTGTCCTTTTTCCAGTGTCACTGCCAAGATAAAAGCCATTGAAGCAAAACTCAAAATGATGGCAGAAAATCCTGATGCAGAGTACCCAGCAGCACCTGTTTATTCCTACTTTAAACCACCAGATAAAAAAAGGACTACTCCTTATTCTAGAACAGCATGGAAATCTCGAAGATGATGGTTGTGAATTACTGTAACAGCAAAAGCATATTAATCTCTACACCTGACCTCTTCTGCCTTTGTATTTTGTATATGTGAATGGTACTATCCAACAGACCACAATCACATGTTAGTTTGGTAACATAATGTTTTTGGATGTTCTTATGGATGTGTCTTCTCTGAACTATGTGTGAAATTGAGCAGAATCCAGAATAAATAGAATTGTGTCCAAAATTGTGATTTGAACACTGAGTTGCTCTAGTTGGCTGGTCTGTTTGAATTTGTAACTCCAGAAACTTTATATAATGTGCCAGAGAGAAAGGCAAATGTACAAAATGTTATTTAAATCAAAACTAAATTGATTGACATCAATTTTTAAAAAATACAGCACTTTTCTTGCACGTGTCTTTTACAACATAAAGAAAAAGGGACAAAGAGGGGAAGTGAGAGACAGATCTTTAATTGTGTTTAGAATTGCTGTTGGAGACTTTACTATGGAACTCCCTCCAGCTGGACTAAAAAATAGAGTTCTTGGCAAAAGAGCTGATCCTTTGAGCAAATGTAGTAATCTGCTTAAGAATTACGCTTATTGTTTCAAAAGCCCAATTAGGAAAACATGGTATATATCTTAAACTTGTTTGTGTCAACAAACTGTAGAATCAAGTTTAGTATTTTTACCACAACAGAAGTTCTGTTTGGCAACTTAACTTTTATTCCATAGTGATCATTTTTTTAAAAATCTAAACAACCCTTCCTTCTATAATAACAAAATGGTGTTACTAACACAGGACTTTTTAAATTGCACTTACTGCATGAGATTGTTTTTAGCATGAGATTGTTCTCTTTGGAATTACATCGTGATCGATTTCAAAAAAAATTTCTTTGAAAACTGAAATATTGCTACACTGGTCACTATGAGACATTTACTTTGTAATAATAATGCGGGGATTTGGTGGAAGAGGTTAAATGATCTTATGCAGGGTGAGAGGGGAACGTGGACCAAGCACAATTAGTGGAGCAGGCACGACTCTGGCACCAATATTGTAATCACCTCGTGCTTCATGTAGTTCAGTGATGGTGAACCTTTTAGAGCCTTCAGTGACGCACAGCTGGCTGCCGCATGCTTGCCAAAGGTTCGCCACCACCGATGTAGTTTTAAAAGACTGCATGCCTTGAAAATGATCCTTCATTCATAGGATATTCTCCCTAGGTATTTTTGGCACTCTGAACCTTTAAATACAACAGTAGAGAGTGATACATAAACTGACAGATTTGGGGGTGTTTCTTCAACACAGTTTTGATCGTTTTAGTGCCAGCCCTGACAGGCTGTTTCACTGAGCAGGACCTTTGCTCCTTTAGTAGGCAGATCACTTTAGTATTTACTCCAGGTGCCATTCACAGTGATTAGAGAGTATTTATCATTACTGTTCCTGGCTTTCATTATAGGAACTTAGGTCTTCCTGTGAGTATAAATGAAGTTAAAACACTTGAATTGAAACTTTAGCATAGTGAGGTTTTAGAATCCACAGAGACATTCTTACCACTTTTCCCAAAGTGAGTCTTTTTAGCTATCCAGATAACACTCTCCTTTTATTAGCTGTGTGTGTCTGTGATGCAAGTAACTCTCTTTCCATTTAGGGCTTAGTTTAGGAAAGTGGGAGTGCTATCTCCCATTTTTCTGGTGACTTCTTTGAGTATAGAATTCACCATTTTATCCTTAAGTCCTCAAAGGAGTGTGGTGGAGTAGAACTTAATGCAAATAGCCTTCTATTTTTAATAGGAATTTAGAAAACACTTAGGACTGTATAGAGTTGTTTTCTTTAGAAACTATTTATTTGTATTTAAAGCAATGTTTTTTTATTTGTACCAATTCTTAACCCTCTGTATGAATAAATGCAAGATGGTGTGTGTGCGTGTGTGTGTGTTTGTATCTTCTCGTCCGTTTATTGGAATAAAGACTGTAGCTTTCTGGTGTTTCTCCCTGGCCTTGGACTGGTGGGTCCAGGCAGGGCATTGCCTCCAAGTGCCTTCCTACAACGGAATCAGGCTATAGAGTTCACTCCAAGGTAATTCTCTTCACCCTTTTGCCTGCCTATCTGTGGTAGAGATGGGAAAAGGACTAGCTGTTCTCTTTGCAAATGTAACTATTTGAAAGGAAGTTAATGGAAGTCTCTGCAAGTCTCATACCATACATATTTAGTCTCAAAGTAGAAGTTCCGAAAGAACAAGTATGTGTATCATAAATACACTGAAAGTAGTCTGGTGAAACGCTTGTGACGTACAGCTGTTAACTTGGTCTGCTCTTAAGAGATTACAAGTATCTGTAAATAACAGTATTATTTGGTTTACTATTTTTGCTAAAATCTTAATCATTTTGATTTCTACAAGAGTGAAGGATTGAAAGAAATACTCAGGCGAGGGTATTGACTCTCAGTCTCGGCTCCTGTCTTATCAAATGCAAAATGGAACCCTAACCAGATGGATTTCTATAGTTGGCATCTCAGCTTTAGAGAAGAGTCTCACGTAAGGATAGATTTATTAAATGTCATAAATCCGTACCCCCAGTTTTATGACACTTAAGTATTCTGCATCTCTGTCCCTTGTTTATTTTACAGCAGCTAGTTTCCAAGTCAGTAAATATACCTAGTTCTTACACTATGATATAAAAGTATTAATTTTTGCTTTCTAAGTGCTTAACATTTCCTGTGTATACACTGTATTCCTAAAATGCTTTTCGATTACAGCAATTTACCCTTAACTTCATTTCCTGCTATCCAGTACGGAACAAATACTGTCTGTTCTGCCTTCAGATTATTACCTTGAGTCCAACTACTGTCCACATCCAACAGTTTTGTTGAAGCTACATTATCTTTTACCTGGGCTATTACATTGCCTTCTTAATTAACTGCCTGCCTCCACTATTTCCCCCTGATAGTCAATTTTCCACATAGAAGCCAGACCAATTCTTTTAAAATGTTCGTGTCTGTGGTCCCAGCTACTCTAGAAGCTGAAGGAGGAAAATCCCCTAAGCCTAGAATTTTGTGGCCAGTCTGGGCAGCATAGTAAGATCCTATTTATTTAAAAAATAGGCTGGTTATGGTGGTACACATCTGTAATTCCAAGTATTGGGAGGGCAGAGGTAGGAGTATTACAAGTTTTGTGCCAGCCCTAGTAACTTAGCAAAATCCTGTCTCAAAATGAGGGCTCTGGATGTAGCTTAGTGCTCTGGATTCAATCCCTGGTACTACAAAAAAAATTAAAATACTAAATGTCACTTTCTTCTCAATGGCTTTCCATTACACCTACAATAAACCTCAAAGACCCATAAGGCCCTTACCACCCATCTCTTGCCATAGCCTCCTCCCCTTGTACACTGTGTTCCAGCCACTCTGATGTCCTGTTCTCAGATGCAAGAGTGTGCCTACCTTAGGGACTTCACCTTGGTCAATGCCTTTGCCCAGAATGCTCTTGGTCCACAGAGCCCACTTTATTCTTTAATTCACATTTCTATTCAAATGTCAGTGGTTAAGATGTCCCGGCTATCCCTTTTTAAATTGTAGTTCTGTCACTTCACAATCCTTGCCTTTTCTAAATAGAATTTATCACCACCCAACATCATGTATAAATTGATTTTGTCTCTTCATTAGATTGTAAGTTGAATATAAATGGTAACCATTGCTGTATCACCAGAATTTAAAACACTACCTTGTGTGATCAGTAACTAGCTGCTGGAAGAAATATCAGAATCCTAGTGTTTGGGAGTTCAAGGGTCTTGTGAAACCATCCCATGTAGCCCTCGTTGTGCAGATGGAAAAAAAAAAATGGAAACCCAGAGAGAGAAAATGGTTTGGCCAGGACTGCGTGTTAATGGGTGCTGTGATTTGGTGTCCCTCAAGGGTTCAGGTATTGAAATTTAATCCCCATTGTGAAGGATTAAGAGGGTAAGGATAGAAAGCTAAACACTATGATCTTTACTGGTAGGGCCTTTAGAAGGGGATTAGGATTAGATAAAATCATCAGGGTGGAATCTCCATGATTCATACTGGTAGCTTTGTAGAAGAGGAAGAGAGACCAGAGGGCACACATACACACGTTCATTACCTGTCTATGGCTGTGTAATGCCTCAGGACTCTGCCAGCAAGAAGGCCATCACTAGAGGTGGCCCCTCGACTTTGGACGAGCCTCCAAAACTACAAGCCAAAATAAACCTCTTTTCTTTATAAATAGCTTTCTTCAGTCATTTTCTTAAAGTATCATAAAACAGGCACAATAAAGAGCTTTAGGTAGAAGTCAGCCTACAAACACCAGCACAGTGTACATTGCTTTGGCAGACTGGCCTGTGCTATCTTTTTGTACAGTCCACAAGCAAGGAATGCTTTTTACATTTTTAACTGGTTGAGGAAAAAAGTCAAATGAATGCTATTTTGTGACATGAAAATAATATGACATTCAAATTTCAGTGTCCATAAAATAGGAAGTTTTATTCGAACACAGGTTCATGCATTTATATGTCTACAACTGTTTTCTCAGTATAACATACTAGACACTGCCTGCCTCACAAGTGCAAGGTCTTGAGTTAAATCCCCAGTACCAAACACACACACACACACACACACACACACACACACACATACACAGACACATATATATGTATATATGACTAGTTACATAAATTTAAAAATTATAGCTCACAAAGCCTAAAATACTATCTGTCTGTTTACAAAGTTTGACAAGCCCTGCTCTAAAGTATTCCATTACTGGAAATATCTTTTCAAGCCTGTATGAGGGCCAAGGATTTAGCTCAGTGGCATTGTGCCTGCCTCACAAGCACAAGGTCCTGAGTTTGATCTCCAGTACCAAAAAGCAAAACAAAAACCCATCAAGTCTTTGTGTTATCAACAATTCTAGTATTACTGCAAAAAATAGAAAGCAACAGAGGTGGCAGAATGATATATGAGTATGATTGGTTTCTTATTCCTGTCTGTGAGCCTGTATACATCTTTTGGGATAGGAAATTGGCTATCCCAATGTAGTAGCTTCACTACTGCAATAGGTTGTAAATCCCCTCATTGTATTTTATGGCTTGGATCAAAAATATCTCCCAAATGTTCATGTGTTCAGAAATGGAGCTTTTGGAGGGTGATTAGATCATGAAGGTGCTAAACTTGGATGGATTAATCCCATGATGGGTTCACAGCTGAATGCGTTATTAAGTGGTGATGTCCCATTGGAAGAATTCCGTCACTAAAGGTATAACTGGAAGGGTGTATCTTGCTCTCCTTCCCTACTGCCGTGATACACTGCCTTACCTCAGGCCTGAAACAATGGAGCCAGCAGAACACTACGGACTGAAACCATGAGCCAAAATAAATCTTTGCTCTCTTAAATTGTTTTTCACAGGTATTTTGTCACAGCTGTGAAAAACTGATTAATATATTGTTCATTCGAGGAATCCAGACCCCCTAAAAACTTTGGCATTTGATGTACCCAAATTATTAGACTTCTAGCCCCAGGATGTGGGCAATCAGCCAGGATTCTTTCCATCCATGTCCAACTACCTATGGCAGAAATTTTATTGCTCTTGTAACTCTAAAGTCCAGGTGTTCAAATGGCATGGCCAGGAACCTCTCTCTTGATTGTATTTCCCTCTGGGTTGATTTCATTCTCAGGCAGGCTCTCCTTAGCAGTATCCCAGATTTTTTAAAAAAAAAATCCCTAAGAATCTGCCTCAAGACACCAGTCTGTATTTCTTTCCTCTGCATTCAGTCTTGCTTGGCTAGGATTACTGATTATGCTAATGGTATTTTATTTTGAATGTGCCCTGTGACCTTCTTAAGCTAAAAAAAATACTTTAAAATTTAACCTTCCTATCCTGAAAACATGCCTCTCCTATTTGAGAAGTTTTCTGGTGGGTGATCTCATAAAAAGGAAATGTAACCATCCCTCAGACATAGACTGGGCATCTGCCATGTGCCAGGCATGGAGGGCGTAAAGATCAAGCATAGTCCCCTCGCAGTGGCATATGCCATGATAAGGGGAAGGCTCAGGAGTCATAGGAGAGCAGAGGACAGGCACCTAGTCCAGCTGGGGACAGTAGGTAAGGGTGTAGATGATTTCCCAGAGGAAGCAACATTTGCACTGAGCACTGAAAGGTGTTAAAACATAAGCCAGGTTCAGGGTTTAAGAAGAGCACCAGAGGAAGAGCAAAACCCTAAAGTAAGACAGGTTTAGATTTAATTATAAGAGGAGTTGCTACACTCCCCAAACCTACACCCATAGGGTAAGCCAGGTTTATAAGGCATTCTACAATATACATTTCCTGAACCAGAATAATGGGTTGAACATGAGAGAGTCTCCAAGACCCCCATCTTTGTACAAGATGTTCCTTTTATCTAGAAAGTCTTTTCTAGGGCTGGGGGTGTAGCTCAGTGGCATGTCGCCTGCCTGGCAAACACAAGGTCCTGAGTTTGATCCCCAGTACAGCAAAAAAGAAAATCTTTTCAACACACCCCACCCAACCGTTGTTCTCACAGATACCTACCTATTCTCAAGGATCAGCCCAAAACAGTTATTACCTTTCTGCTCCTTAAATACCCAGTTCTGTCTCAGCACGTGTCACCATGCAATCCACTTTATTATTTGAAAAATGATTCTGACTGGTAATAAGATGAGCCTCAAGGGCAAATTGTCTCCCAGAAAATAGACATGTCAACTCTGGTCTCCCTCCTAGGTGGCATAAATCCTTGTCTGCTGTGAAATCTCATACTGAATTCCCTCTTCCAGTTCCAGCCTCATTCTAAGTTACAGTTCCACATATCTAGTTCACTCCTGGGCACTGCCACATAAATTGAGCTCATTCACCACCCTT